TCCACTTCTACAATTTCCTTTTTATCCCTCTCTTTGAGTTCAATTCTCACAAATTTGTTAGGTTAAATGTTATGTGTAATTTGTGGTAATTGTATAAGTTTACCTTCCAATCATAAGTTAAAGAGCCCATGATTAAAAAGGTTTCCAATTTATATGTGTGTGGGGGTTGGGGGGGGGGGGGGGGGGGGGGGGGGGGGGGGGAGTGTTAGATCATTGAATCCATAGTTTTTTTTTTTTTTTTTTCCCTGGCAAACACAACAACACAAAATGAAAAACTAACTAGATATATTCAACACATCCCGAGCAGCAAGATCGAGAAGTGAAGGTGGCACAGAAGGAAGAATCCAATCGGAATATGTGATACCCCTCGATTCTAGAGCCACGGGTGATCAAGTCCGAGCACAAATCCGAGGGATACCAAACAATTAATATGTAAACAAGCAGGAACACAAAAATGAAATAAGAATAAAATAATAAGCTGAAAAGAATTCTAAATATAAACAATCCTCCAAAATAATAGATTAATATAATTTAAACTTTCCAATCCGTACAACTCGGGAATCCATCCAGTGGACCCCTACTAATCCCAAATGAATAATAAATTTCAGAACCAAAATCCAAAGCGAAAATCTTACGTAGTCGGAGAAGTAAGTGACTGTATCTGCTCAGCACGATCAAGCTTTAAGCCTGAAACTGATGAACACCTGAAAAAAAAAATAAGAGTGGATTAGGCCCACATGCAAGTTCTATCCTATTACAATCCATACAGAAACCCGATACGCAGATACATCCTAGATAGCTCGGTAATAACTAAAATAGTCCGTATAGATATAAATACACGCTATAGGACGCTCACTAGCCTATAGTGTAGTTTAGCCTGAATAGAAGGTAACATGTAAATCACACATTACAGTATGCATGTGCACCCTATATCTAGTTACTCATCCTTAGCGATATACGCACCCTAACCATGATCCTGAGACTCAAGCTCATATCACGGTATCATAAGTATATATATAAGTCCTTTCTAATACAGAAAAAAATAAAACAAGCATCCGATATGTCGTTCAACTGTTTTAGTTGACAAGACATGCATCAATGTAGGATTTAACTGTTTTAATTAATCCAATTCGTATGTATGAATAGGTAGGACTTAGCATTTTGATCTAATCCATCCCTAATATGCCACCATCTCATACCGGTACATATAATGCATATGATTCATAAATGATGCACACTCATTAGAATATCAAATCCATCCAGAGACAAACATAATAGAAATCAGATATAGATAAGATCCTATTATGCATCCGGTATATGATTATAATCATAGAACCTCCGTTTAAATTGCTAGAGTAATGATAAACAATTTAAACTATCAATATCCATATAATTGACAGAACAAAAATTATAACAGTTCATCAATTAACATCCATATCACGATATAATGATAAGCAGAATTATGAACTGAGCATATTATACTTGAATGCCAAAACCACTTTCATACTAGTCCATTTAATTTACTAAAACAAGACTAGCAATTAAAACTCCCACTACTCTTGACAGCATACAATTTAGTTTCTAAATTTCTTGATGTCTATAACTACAGCAGAAACCAACATTCCTGGGACTTAATTATGTTATATATCATTGATATAAATTCCCAAAAATAACTTTCATTTCAGTCCATTTAATTTGTCAAAACAACTAGCAATTAAATCTTCCTCATTCCTTGACAGCATGCATATTAACATTTATAATTCATGATGTCCCTTACTACAGCCTAAACCAACATTTCTGGGTCTTTAACAGGTTCAAAACATCTTTTAACCCTCCCCCCCCCCCCCCCCCCCCCCCAATTGAATTACAGAATTCTATTTTAGCCCTTGGAATCAAAAAATATCATAAAAACACCCCGTAGGGGTGTTTCCAGCAAGGGAGCCGGCTCTCCCTCATGGAGAGCCGGCTCTACCCTGAGAGCCGCTGCTACGCTTCTTCGGTTCATCTTCTTCGCCTTCGACGAAGTTCAGAGTCCTGTACCGCTTTTATTAAACTTTTTAGGGTTAAATCTAAGGCCCAAAAGTTCCAGAGACTTCTCAAGTTTCAATACGAATTGTTAACCAGATTCAAACCCTGATTGATAACAGTTTATGCACAAACCAATTTGCCGTAAAACAAAGCATATAATAGTTTATCGTCTGATATAACATGCATCAAATATCCGTTTTAAAGTTTGAATTAATTCCTGGAGACTATATAGCATGCACATAACACAGGTTTAAGGGAAGTAGTTAGAATAAAACTTGCCTTTAGGTTTCGGTTTGAAACCTTTCAACGTCGTCTCTAAATTCTTCGACGACTGTCGACTACTGGTAAACTGTAATACCCCTAGTTTTAAAAGAGTTATAATTGAAATTTTAATATTTATTTTATTGTTTTCATTATTTATTTTATTTGCGTTTGGTATTTATGTGGCGAGGTATTTTCTGAATTAAAATAAGTGTTGGGTGAATTTAGCTGTTTATGAATTAAATTGATTTGTTAATTGTTTTATTTTTATTTGGTTTAATTTTTTTATTTTTTAATTGATTTAATTGTTGAATTTCTTAAACAAGGGTTTTATGTTTGAACGTAGCCGACTTAGGGTTGGTGTAGGATTGGAATTAGGGTTTTTGTCTCTAATTTTATATGGAGTAGGATTGTTGTTTGGAGCTTATAAATACATAAGAATACTGGGGTTTAGGGTTTTAGAAACCGTAAGCACAAGTCTGTAAACAGAGAGAATAAAAGAGAGTTACAGGTAGAATTACAAAGAGAGATAAAGGGAAGAAGTCTAGGGTTTTGCCTTAGGCTAGGGTTGAACCAAGGAGGAGGAGGAACAGTGGTTGGCTCGTGGATAAAACCAAGAGCAACAGAGGTGGAACAGTCGTCGGAGATTTCATCGGAAAAACTTAGAAGGACGGCAACAGAGTTTTGAATCCAAAACTGTAAAGGCAAGTTCTGTCCTTTCTCTCTCCCGGTTGGCCTGTGTTCTGTGCATACCTAGATGTCTCTAGGATTTTAATTGAATATTAATCTAATCTGGCATGCGAGATATATGTCCAACTGATTATCAGTATGTGTATGGTTGTCTAAAACAATTCTTGATTGACTTGTGTTTGTCGTCTGTTTTAAGCTTACAGATTTGTATTGTTTTAATGGTTGCTTTAATTCATATTGTTATAAACAAGGGTTTGGGATGTATTTGAATATAAGTAGGATGGTTAAGATTAGTTTTGATTATCTGTATATGTTCTAGTATTATATGTGGTTATGTTTGCAAATTGAAGGTCAAGTTTTATGTTAACGCATAAAGAATCGGTAGAGGTTTTAAGTCACTGTAATAAATTCCAACTGTCGAACCAAACCATTGGGATGCTACTGTATATATATTTGGCTACTAAGAGCAGTTTTAAAGAAGAACAGAGGGGTAGGAAGAGGCCGGAGTTGAAGCAGAGGTCGGAGACGGAGCTGAAGTGGAACGGAGGCTCACAGAAGGGAGAGAGCCGGCTCTGGGAAAACCAAGAGCCGGTTCCCACCTAAAAAGAGCTAGCTCCAAGGTAGTTTGGAGCCGGCTCTAGGTTCTTTTAGAGCCTGCTCAAAGTTTTCAAAGAGCAGGCTCTCTTTTATTTGTTGTTTTCTACGTTTTTTAGTTTCTTGGTGTACTGTGTGGTGCCTTAAATAATTCTGAACAGTTATGGGACTTACTGGGGGGTTTAATATTTCTTTTAAGGCATAATTAAAACCTCAAATTAAATAATTTATACCTCTAAGTTAATGGAATGAACAGTATACCATTAAACTATTTTTTCATACTGTTAGCGGATGAAAGGCAACTGATTGCTTAGTTTACTGTTAGTAATTTAATGGAATATAAGAGGACTATAAATCTTATATTGGATGGATGATAGTCAATTATTTATTAGAATTGGTCTATACATGTTCTAGATTTTAATTGCTGAAATAGTGAACCCTTTCTGCAAATTTCATGGATTAAGGATAGGATTGTAACTGCTGAAATTTTAAACCTTGTCTACAGTTACATGGATTTTAGTCTAGATTATTATGTTGGCGAGATATAAAACTCCTTCTACAATTAATTAGGTTATGGATTTAATGGGATTTAAATTACTGAATTGTTATGCACTTTTTGTAATTTACATGGTCTTGAACGATAATTGCTGAATTAGTAAATTAGGTTCTAGTAATTACTAGTATGGTGTTTGGATTATAGATGATGAACTGTTTAAATTCTGTTTATTATCTATTTGGATTATATGGATTTGTTTAATGTACTGCATAAAATGTTGCATCATTTACAGATCATTTGCATGTATGTACCGGTATGGAATGGTGACATACGGAGGGACGGATTAGATCAAAATGCTAATTCCAACCCACTCATATATGCGGAATGGATTAACTAAAATAGTTAAATCCTACATGGATGCATGTCCTGTCAACTAAAACAGTTGAACGACATAACAGATGGTTGTTTATATTTTCTGTTAATAGAATGGATAGGGATTTAATTAAAATATTTAAATCCTAATTGTATGTCGTGTCATAGCAACGAATTGTTGAGCGGCACTACATTGGTTTGGATGAGAATTTATATATAGAAACTATGGTACCGCGATCTGAGTTTGAGCCTCATAGTTGACGGTTAGGGAGCGTATATGCAGTAGGATGCGTAGCTAGCTATGCTGGTTAAGGTATACCCTGTAAGGCTTAAGTAGTCATGCTCACTCAGGTGCATTTATGCATGTTGTTTTCTATTCAGGTTGAGACCCTCAGCATAGCCTAGTGAGAGTCCTGTAGTGTGGTTATATGTATATATCTATTTACGGACTATATAGATATGGTTGAGATATCTAGAATGTATCTGCGTATCGGGTCTCTGTTTGGATTGTAGTTAGGATAGAACTTGTTCATGGGCCTGACCCAATATTATTTTTCAGGTAACGGACGGTATCAGGTTTTAGAGCTTATTCGTGCTGAGCAGAGACGACTACTCACTCTACCGACGACGTAGGCGGTTCCTGTACGGTTTAGCATTGGATTCCTTTCCAGTGGTTCATTTCTTAGTGTTGGTTTTATTTGAGGTCCACCAGATGGATTCCCGAATTGTATTAGAATTGGAGAAGTTGGATGTATCATATTAATATTTTATTTATAAAAATTTTATTCTGAGGTTTTCAGTTTTGGTTTATCATTCTAGTTTCTTTTCAGTAATTTATTTATTCCTGTTTTCTTAATCGTATTCTGTGTTCGTTTATTGCTAATTGGTTTGATATCCTCGGGTAATCGGGCGTGGACCTGGCCAACTCGCATCCGGAAATCCGGGGGTATCACATAAACCTCCTACTGCTCGGGTTCAATCTCACAAGCCATCCATTCCTTCCTCCTTGGTCCGACCTTGAGTCCACTGCCGAAATCCTAACTGGTTCTCACAGTTTTCTCTCAAGTTGCTCTCTGTTTGTGCATGAGGTTTTGTTGATTTCTAAACCCCAAGCCGACGTCTAATGTTATATTTATAAAGGCTTAAGAAAAACCTAATTCAAACCCCAATATAAGTCAGCGACTATATAAAAATATAAAACCCTAAAATCATTATTAATAAAACAATATAAATGTAATAATTAATAAATCCTAATAGTTAACTTAATTGTATACACACATATATTTATACATGTATATCCATCCATAGGTAATAGCTGTACCCATAAAATCCCATATCCAAAACCAACTCTGTTGTAAAACATTTAATTTAACCATTTAATGTAAGTCCATCTAAGCACAAAATTCAATTAAAACAAATAAATTAGTTAAATAAATAAAACAAATAAAACAATTTATGACATTCCACATAAGCATATAATTCAAGTAAACAACAAAATCAATTAAACAAATAAATCAATTAAGCAAAAATTCAAATAATTCAAATAATTCAATAAAAATGCAATAAACACATTAATTAAAAAACCGAAACTATCTTTTTAAAATTAAGGGTATTACAGAATCCATTGGATTCCGAGATAAAGATGCAAGAGCATGAGCCACCATATTCCCAGCTCGCCTAACATTGGACACTGCAACAGAGGGAAAAACCTTTAACGCTTTTTTGATATCAAAGATAAGTGATGCAATTTCGATATAGCAACTCCCATAATCAGCCACAACATTATCAAGCAGCTTTGCATCTAATTCAAAGCACACATTTAGGAAATGTAGTGATTTAGCCTAAGAAATGGCATGTCTAGGACAAACAGTTTCCGCTACCAATGCCGAAGATGAAGGAAATGGTTTAAAGACCACTGTTTAAATGATGGAACTGAAAGAGTCGTGGAAAGATTGCACCCCCTCCATCGATCGAGGATTCCACTGAAAAACAAGCATCTACATTACATTTAATTAACCGAGGTAATGGAGGAACCCAGGATTGAGGAGATGAAGAGCTGTTAATGCAAAAGATTCTCCTACACTTCAACCGAACCTCCGCATATTCCCAGAATCTAGCCACAGCAAGGTTCATTAGTACCATAGGACTCTACATCTCATTCTCAAACACTTTTTTATTTCGAGCCTTCCATATAAACCAAGTGCAAAAAGAAATCAACCCCAAGAAATTATTTTGGTCAGGAGATTAACCACCAATTCAAGAAAGAAGAAAAAGTGGCATTTGAAAAACCGAGCCTGAAGGGTAATAGTTTCCACACTTGTGATGAATATGGACACTTCACAAAAAGATGAAGAATATCGTCCTCTTCAGATCCACAACGAGTGCAAAAAGGAGAAATTTGAAAACCCCTATGAAGAAAAACCATACCTGTTGGAAATGCATCATGACAACAGCGCCACAAAAAATGTTTCACTTGAATCCAAGTTGGTAAGGTGCTTGATAGCATTTGTGTGTTTTCTTTATATTGTTAAATTTCTCTCTTTACTCTATTACATGAATTTACTACTAATGAAGATGAGTAGATTGTAAAAATGCTCAGGTGACAATGTTGTGCCTAAGTAATATTGTTAGTAATTGTTAATTGTTTGGTGTATAAAAGTAATAATGCATATATATATATATATATATATATATATATATATATATATATATATATATAATTATTTATTCTTCATAGATGCTTTGTTTGTTTTTAATTCAACAACTCCCACAAAGTGATTCGTCTACCAATTAAAAAAATTGTTTAGCAAACCATGTTGTATAAATGTCTGATTGAAAGACCACCACCGAACCTTTGAGTCTTTGACTTGATATATTAATGGAATTTGGCAATATTTGGTGTTCTATGTCCTTGCACAACTTGCATTGGTTATTATAATTGATTAAACAAAAATTTGGTTGTATTGAATTTTAAATATAAATTTCTACAAATTTCCAACAATGTTGATTACATTTTTAAAGCCACTATATATCCAACTTACAGGCAATGTAAGACATAATGATCTCTCCAATTAAAAATTATGTAAAAAGGGTTTTATAAAATAGATTCATTTTGTTTTATTATACTGTAACAAGGACAATTTAGACAAGTACAAATGACAAACTATATAATTAATTTGAAAATGAAAAAAAAAGAAAAAAAAAAAAAGGCTCTCTCATGCACAGGTGGAATCGTCCATCGGATTTGGGCCTTAGGCCCAAAGACCATGAAAAATTTGTCTGGGCCTATTAGTCCCTTTATCGGCCCATACATCTGCACTATTGTCAGTGTTATGACTTGCTAGGAGCACAGTAAGGAAACACCGACTAGAAAACCAGTCTCCTCCGAGATTGGGGATATTCAGAGGAGCAAAGGATTCGCCGCACAGCCACCGTCACCGCCGTAATCGTCGCCGTTTCATAGCCGCCGCCGCTGAATACTTAGAGGTACGGTGATTAGCTTTATATTTACTGAATTTTGCAGTATAAATTTGGGTGCCCCAAGTACTAATTTTAGGGTAGTTGATTTTTTTTTTTTTAATCTCAATAATAATATGTTTGTTGAGATGTGTATAATTGAAATCATTTTCCTTCTTTGTCTTAGTTATATATATATATATATATATATATGTATGTATGTATTGTGTCTATTTGGAGCTTCATTCGACTGAATACCTCGTGTTGCTTCTTTATCTCAATACGGAGCTGTTTGCTAAGTTGTATAATCGAATTTTTTTTTGGGTCTAATTAATATGCCTAAGTGTGTGTGTGTGTGTGTGTGTGTGTGTATGATTGTGTATGTAGTGTATATTTTGAGCTACATTCGCATGAATACATCTGGCTATGGCCCCTATGGACACAGGAAAATTTGGGTTTGGTCACTCAATCGATGACTATTGATATGAGTGTTTGTTGCATGAGTCTGTGAAACATTTAAGATATGCATAAATTTAGTTTCTCTAAACGTCCAATAATTGTACATCCTAATGAGCTTTTTTCCTTGATGCAGCAAACAGATTTGCCATCATGTCTTGGTGCACAATCGAATCCGATCCTGGTAAGATTTTATCATGTCTTTCTATTTTTTTTTTGCACCTGCGTGTACTTGTTGCAAATTATCTCTGATCGTGAGTGTGTTTATTTTCTATCTGGAAATCAGCACACCTTTCTTTATTTCTTTGATGAGTTAAAATAAGGAAAAAATAAAAATAAAAAATCAACAAGAACAAAGAAGAAAAGGGAAAAAAAAACTACTTTTCCGGTATAATATTCTCAATCTTCTTTAGAAATCTAAGTGGATTTGCTGCATTATCAATAAAAAAAACTTTCCATGATGTAGGTGCATTTGCTGTTGTTTTTTTTTTTTTGGTTAAATAATGTAGGTGCATTTGTAGTAAAGGCTACTACAGTTGCATCTATTTTCAGTAGGTAAGTTTATTTATATTTATATTTTAATTTTAATTATTATTTTTTTAACCGTAGAAAGAGAAACAGAGCACAAACTATAACAATGAAACTCATGAAGAATGCTCTTGGTCACTAACAATCCTCTCGTAATCCAAGAGGTAAAAATCTAACATACAAGGAAAAAAATGTCTTGATAGCGCAAGAGATTAGGTTAAAATTTTTTGTGCATTAGTGGCCAACCTTATTACAGTAGGATAGTTTTTTAATTAACCTGCCAAATTGGCCCAAAACAAAGTTTAAATGGACCAAACCCACAAAGAACTCAAGACTTCGTGGATTAACACAAGACTTTCCAAAGAGGGTGGAAAAGCAAGGCTGGAAATATTCCACTTGTTGGCGGAACTCCCAAGAACAAGACGAAATTTATCTAGTAAGCAATATCTCATCAACAAGGTAGCAACACAATACTCAGACATGGTATGAGATATTGGGTTATATCCCTCACAAATGGTTGGACATGCATCTATGGTATAATTTTAATATGTAGTTGTACATAATAATCTCTTATTATGATAGCAACACTATACTTGGACATGGTATGAGATATTGGGGTATATTTCCCACAAATGGTTGGACATGCATCTATGATATAAAGAGGGCAAACCTAGTGCACAAGGCTTCTGCCATTGTAGAGTACGGGGAGGGTCAGGTGTATTATGCAACCTTACCTCTGCATGCAGAGAGTCTGTTTCCTTTTTGTGACCTCTAGGTCACAATGGAGCAAATGCAATCTTACCGTTGCGCCAAGGCCCGCCCTAAATAGAAAGCTATGATATAAGTTTATAATTTCACATAATAATCTCTTATAATGTATTCCTTATGTTATATTATTCCCTTAAAATGAGTAAAACATTATTTTAATTTAGAAAATAAATGAAAATATAAATAATAAAAATATTTAGTCTCGTCTTTGCGTCCTTTGGTTTGACGGTTTGATAAATTCAGCGCTTATACATGTATCTGCACCTCGTGCATGTAGCTGTCCATGTAGTTAGTAAAGGCTATATGTCAAACCATTAGAGCAGTTTATGGACCAAAATGTCATCACATAGAAGCAGGCAGAAGAATGATGCAAGGTGTTGTAAACTAGGCTACCTGAACTCTACCGGTACTTTTGAAACAATTTGTTAACTTTGGATGAAAATGTGAAACACATTCATTCCCTACATTCTTTCCTCCATATCTTTCTCTAATTTTGTGTGATTTCTTTCTTAACATATCATATACTTGAGAAATCAAAGAATATCAGCACAGAGTATTACCAACCACATTAGCAGCCATATCACATCAATTTGGTATCAAAGCAAGTCTTTCCTGGGGATCCATGAGCATAGCAATTGTTTGATGAAATTCTTATGAGAGCCAAGATACGTCAAGTAACTTCTGTTGGTGTCAAGCAACCACCTAAAGAGTGCCTTTCTTCCAATTGCAATGATTTCTTTTAATATTTTCAATTACCTCATTCAAAGGGATTGTGCTTTGCTACTGGCCTCAAATGATTATCCTAGGGGGTCCATAAGGGTATAGACTATAGAGTGAGCCAATGAGGTACACATGTTACTCGTTGATTCTCAAATCTCAATATATATGCAGGCATTGAATTTATTGAGTCCTCAATCCCAAGAACACAGAATGCGGTTAAATTGTCATTTTTAATATTCTTATTTTATTTTAGGTTAAAATAGCATTTTTTTTGGTAACACAGTGTTCAGCATGGGCAGTTTACTTGTGTTCCATAATAAGAGAATCTATGTACAATTATGTATGTTAAGCTTGAACTCATATATTTAATAGGTAAATGTCTAACTAGACATGTCAAATATTTTTCCGTACCCAAGACATGCTTCTTCACTCAGTTGGAATAGTTGATGTTATATAGGTTGGTATCAAGTGACTCCTTTGCACAAAGTCCTTGTTGAAGCCCAATAACGGAATTCTCCAAACTATGAACTTCAATTATCCTTGCTTTATTTATCCCTTTTTCCTTTTTCTCAAACTCGTTCAGATTGATATTTGCCATTAATACCCCATTTAGAAGCTTTCAGATCTTAAATAAGTTTCTAGAGTATAAGGAAAGAGCATGACTACATCTAAATTTAATCTTAATGGTGTTTTCATATATTTTAATGTCTGTAATCTCATGCATTGATGGTGAATCTCATTCGAAGGCCTAACCTGCTGATCCACAACCTCCTCCACAATCTTTCCTTTCCATTTTACTCGAGAAGGATGGTAAGCCAGAACAGTTGACCAGAATTCCCGAATCTGACCTGTGCTCAATCGGTTCGGGTGCGTGACCAGCCTAATATATAGCATGCTATAACATGCCTTACCGATCCTTATGGTATAGGCCTGACGTTGAAGTAGCTCTTGTCCAATCTTCTCGATCTAGTGGGATGGATCTATCTACCGCACCTTCCACCCCCTGTCGCATTTAAAGCTCGTGGACCTCATGACAGCTAGCCGACCACTCGGGACGGTGTTTTTGTCGTGACCGGCTTCCGGCGAGTCCACGGGCGTGACAACTGGTTTTGTGGTGAACAAAGTTTCCTCTAGATCAATGGGATTTTTTGAAATGCAAGAGTGATAATCAGGAGAGTCGAAAGCCGGGCTTTCTATGACCGATCCCAAATATCCTGTTGAGAACAAGGATTGCAGCCGAGTTCAATGCCTCTTTTTTTGCCCATTGTGTGAGAAAAATGTTGATTGTATGAAGACATGATACAAATTTAAAGGATGTTTACATCTTGCCCTTATTGTCTATACTAGCCTCATTCTTAAGGGTGCTAGCCTTGGAATAATGAAAACTTTTACCTAGGGGTGCCATGGTGGTATTGAATACGCATGGGACACGACCTGTACACGTATCCGACATGGCTAGAATTGTCCTGGAACTTGATTTTTTATTTTTTTTTTCACTTTCTAATTGAACACGGTTGGGATAAGGCATAGACACGGTGAGAATACGACATGGACGTGTTTGGGATACTTTCAGGACATGGTGGGTAGTTTTGTGATTATTTTTGCCTTATTCTCGAAAAGATGATGGGAAGATTGGGAGATCATTACTATTAAAATGTATCTTTGACATTAGCTTGGGCTTTGGAGGCAAAGGAGACTATTTCAGAACCTTAACAAATGGGAGAGGGTGGGTGGATTAAGTTTTCACCTTTTAGGTAGGGACAAGAGTTCAATACTTTGTTTAAGTCCTGTCAAAGCTTGTTCCTAGTGAGGCATGAGAATTTTCTAATGGACATACTAAAGAATGTCCTTGTTAGGATTGGGTTATGTTTATTTATAGTAGAATATCAGTGAATTTTATTGCTTGCTCATACTTTTAATGGTGAACAGTGAAATTCAATGTCATACAGTGAATTTTCTATGAGCACATTAGGTTGTGCTGGGGGATAGTTGGCGGATCATTTATTGACACAATCATTGAGGTGGTGAATGCCCTTTGTAATGGATAAGAAGTTTTAAGTTGCGGATCTTGTTAGGGTTTCACTTTTCAGAGGGTGGAGAGTGGTACGGGATCTGTTTCATCATGGCACTGCAGGAGTATTATAGACTTGTCCTGTAAATGTAATGGAGAACTCCTTGAGTTGGGTTGCGTCTAAGGTATTAGGTTTAAGTTCTACACCCTATTATAAGCTTTTGAGAGGTGATAGACATCCTTAATTCCATTAGAAGGCAATTTGGTTCACCAAAGCTGCACGCTCTATTTGAGTGGACGATTGTGTCAATTGTCAGTTAGGAAAGATTCTAATAATTGACAACCTGATTAAGAGTCTCAATATTATTATGAAGAAGTGTTGCATGTTATGTTACATGGACTCGGGTGTGTGTCTCGGGTGTGGGTATGTATCCTCGCGTCGTGTCCAATCCCCAAACAAAAGGATACGTGAACGCTGCTAAATATTTATATTATTTGATATTTTTATTTTATGCGTGTGTCCAACCAAAAGTGTCAGAAGCAGATCTCAAACCGATACGGATACTTCACCTACTATTGAAGAGTCCACGTAACATAGGTTGCATGTGAATAAGGGTCTAAAAGATAGTGAACCATCTATTAATGCATGTCTAGTTGTTAGGGATACGCGGGTTGTTCATTTTCCATTTTTTTCTTGCGCATATTTTTGAGCCTTGATAAGCTAGTAATGTTGTCTAGTTATTGAAGAGTCCATGTAACATAGGTTGCATGTGAATAAGGGTCTAAAAGATACTGAACCATCTATTGATGCATGTGTAGTTGTTAGGGATATGTGGGCTGTTCATTTTCCATTTTTTTCTTGCGCATATTTCTAGTTGGCGACGTTGTACGATTATTTGGAGCTGACAGCAGTGTGGCAGGCGGATCCACTATATCTTTGGTTGAGTAATTGGAGGTAGACAAATAGATGTCCCTTTATAGAAGTGGTGAATAAGACGACATTTTTACCCCGTGCTGTAAAGTGCCCCTTTGGTTGTGTTCACATTCGTCCTATAAAGCCTCCGAAAGTCCACAGCACCAACCGACCCACGAGCTATTCCATGCTGAAGACAAAATTTACTTCGTTTTCATGAAGTAGAGCGTGCATAATCTGATTAGTCCTCTTTAGTGCAATATATTTCTTTACTTAGTTACAAGGATGATATTTAGTATCCGGACGCCTCTCTCTTGATTGGTTCAACATTTTAGTTTTGGTTAATCTTTATTGTTGAGATTGTTGGTTTCTATTTCAGGTGTTTTTACAGAACTTATACAGCAGATGCAAGTAAAAGGTGTGCAGGTAAAATTTTGGATTTACATAAGTTTATCTGTTTCTATGTCAGTCTTTGTCATGGTTTAAGAAATTTTATATTTGCTGTGGAAGACATTTGCTTCCACCACATGTAGTGCATCGGGACTGGATATTCATTGGAGCTTCTTTTGCTCATATTTTGTGTCCATGTTGGGCTTATTGATGATTAAAATGCCTTTTTTTGTTGATCTATTGAGATTTTTAGCTAATCCATCAGTAGGTGACTGCTTCATACCCAGTGGAAGCATTATATATGTGTGTGTTTTTCTCTCTGTGGTTTCTTGTATGGATATAGAAATTCCATGGTTTCATACCTGATCAAACATTGTCTGATTCAAATCTCAAAATGGTGAAATCGAAGCAGTTTTGTTATTTGATATTTGATCAAGCTTTATCTGCTATTCAGAACTTTAATGGTGAAATTATGATAAAGCCAAGCAACCCACTGGGCAAAAGCTAGAACGCAAGATGAACTTTGAAGCTAACCTTTTCAGCATAAATAGTGATGAGGAGAAAGACTTTCGGGTTTATTTGGATAAGCTGGGGCGGGAGGGATGAGAAGGGAAGGATTGCATTAGCCATGAGATAAAGAAAAAAAGGAAAGAATACTAGTGGCCCTTCCTCTTGTTTAGATAATTAGGGCGAGAAAAGAAAGGAAATGATATTAGACACCCATCTTGTCTGAAAATGATGATAAAAAGAAGAGAAAGAGATGAGTGTTTTATTATATAACTATAAGGGAAAAAACAGGATGTCACTTGTCACAAAAGTAACAGCTAAACAGATAGACACTAATTTACTTATCCTTCCCCCTTCATTCTTCCACATTTTGAACGTAGCAAGGGGATTAAAGAATCCATCTCCTATCATGCTCACTTCTTATCCAAAAGAGGGTAGGGTTCTCCTTCTCCTTTTCTTCCTAGATCCTTCGATCCAAAGGGACAGCTGGTATGGAAGGCTTACAATGGAGATTTTTGGCATGATATTTTTGTTAATCACATCTATTTGAAGATGATGTGTGATTTTGTGATGCCCCCATCCCATCCTTTTGCATTTTTTTTTCCTTAGTTGGTACTCACACACACACATGCCTCGGGCCTGGTACCGCTAGGCGACTGGCCTGTTGGTATCCTTACGAGTTGTAGGTGCATTTTGGTTGTTATGAACCAGATGTTGGGCTAGCATAAAAAAAATGGTAGGAAGTGAAATGATCCGAGTTTTCAAAATACCTAACATATAAAGAATTTGGCATCAAATTTGATGTGAAAGGTGTCCTCTCCTTTATCGACCTCTCCAGAGCTCCTCTTGGGGATCTTATCAACAAGTCTAAATCAGTTATCTTTTATATGATATCAACTTCATCAGTTTCTTCCTATTCTGCATTTATCCCTTTTCTCCTCTCAAATTTTTGCCTTTATCACTGGCTGAGTAGTTGGTGAGATCGAAGATGTATTTTCTGTACTTTTGGAAGGTTGAGGCTGGAAAAGTGAATTCTAGATGGATCTTGTAAGTTCTAGACATATGTATGCTCAATGGATCTTGTAAGTTCTAGACTTTTCAATTGAAATTAATATAAAAACGAATTTTAGTGGGTATGCTCAGGGGTGATCACAGATCCAAGTTTACAATCATCTTGAAACTGTGAGCCTTTGGTCAGCATGCTGGTCACATGGTCAAATCATAGGCAAAGCTAGATATGGAATTGAGTGTGTGGTCAGCTTGAGTTACCGATTCTATATGACTCTCAAACCTTGCTATTAAACTAATTATTTTGTTTTAGGATGCATGTTGTTCACCTGTTTTAGACTTGTACATTTGTTTCACTTTTTCACATTTTTCTTCTATTTAATGCATACCATTGTTATGCCATGTGTTCAAGTAGGTTGAGGAGTTGTATTCATTGGACGTTGATTCTCTCAACAGTCTTAGGTAAATTGCCGATCCCAATTGTTTGAGCTTGTAAACTTTGTAGGTTGATATCAATTTTACATAATATGCATTCTTGTGGTACGCATATGTTAATATCCTTACTATGCATTTTAATTGCAGGCCAGTATATGGGTTGATATTCCTTTTTAAATGGCGTCCAGGGGAAAAAGATGATCGTCTTGTAATTAAGGATCCAAACCCAAACTTGTTTTTTGCCAGCCAGGTCGGTGTCTGTAAATCTGTATATGCTGGAGAACAAGAAGGTAGTTGACTTTTCTAATGTTACTACCTTCTACTTTGCAGGTTATTAATAATGCATGTGCAACCCAGGCGATACTATCCATTCTTTTGAACTGTCCAGATGTTGATATTGGTCCGGAATTGTCAGCATTGAAAGAATTCACAAAGAACTTTCCTCCAGAGCTGAAAGGCTTGGCTATTAACAACAGCGAAGCCATTCGTACAGCCCATAACAGTTTTCAGAGACCTGAGCCTTTTGTTCCAGAGGAGCAGAAGGCTGCAGGCAAAGATGATGATGTGTACCATTTCATAAGCTATTTGCCCTTTGAAGGTGTGCTGTATGAGCTTGATGGACTGAAGGAGGGGCCCATTAGCCTTGGGCAGTGTCTGGGTGGGCAAGGTGATATGGATTGGCTACAGATGGTGCAGCCAGTGATTCAGGAACGTATTGAAAGGTATTCCAAAAGTGAGATTAGATTCAACCTCATGGCCATCATAAAGAACCGGAAAGAGCTGTACACTGCTGAACTCAAGGAGCTCCAGAGGAGGAGAGAACGTATTTTGCAGCAGCTGGCTGCCTTGCAATCGGAGAGACGGGATGATAACAGCAGCATAGAAGCATTGAATAAATCACTTTCAGAAGTGAATGCTGGGATTGAGGGTGCTACCGAGAAGATTTTAATGGAGGAGGAGAAATTTAAGAAGTGGAGAACAGAGAACATCCGTAGGAAACATAACTACATACCTTTCTTGTTTAACTTCCTGAAGATTCTCGCTGAAAAGAAGCAGTTAAGGCCTCTAATCGAAAAGGCGAAGCAGAAGACAAGCAACCCTCAATGAAAATTGTTCTCTTTTGCCAGGTTAGGAAGAAAGCTGGTTTTTGAAAACTTCTGATTTTCTATCCAATGGATCTATCTGACGTTACGACTTGGAAGGATTTTCGTCCCTTGTCTCTGAATTTTAAGATCGCGCAAGGTCATTACGCGTGTTCTATGTATTTCTTTAATCATATTGAGACCCCATCTGAAACTACTTTTAAGTTAATATAGCCTGCTCACAACTTCCGTTAAATGCTTTGTTGCCCTTTTTAAAGGATGGGAATTATTTCGACTGCTCTGTTGAGGTAAGAGGCTCAGACGCTGTCTCAGTAATTATGAAACAGGACTCTTACCACAGACCTCTTTTGTTTTCAGTTTGTAGAATACAATGCACTCTTTCAAACAAAAATACCTGGTTATCTTGCCAAAAATGGGATGTTCATTCGTGTGATTCGTTGAATGTTCTGTTTTTTGAATCATTTTACATTGAATACGGTTATAGATGTATAGCTCAAGAAAGGTTAGTACGCACAATTCACAGGTCAGTTTGATTGGATTTTTCGCGTTATTCTACAATTTTTACTTTTTACAATCCATTTGAAGCCGGAAGAAATGGTTGATTTTGGTTTTTGCTTAATGTCCACTGTCCACCAGATGGTTTGTGTCACGGGGAAGCCCAAGGCATGGCAATATGGCATGTTTCCCCCATGCCTATGCCCAGGCCAATGGACTTGTTAGGGTTTAACAATAAGTTAAAATAAAATCAACTGATGTAGCTATTATTATTAGCTATTATTATTAGCTATGATTATTTTTATTTTTTGTCGACAGATGGTGGTGTTGGGCCACCCAATAATCCACCATCGGTACATGTGGTCTTCCCTATCCTACATGCACCGGGCACATGATGTAGCTATTTACAGATTCCATTTTAGTACCGAGATGGCTTCAAAGGTTTAAATAGCTCATGTGAATAATGGCTCTGAGAAAAGCATGCGTAAACAAAGATGAACAAGCCCTTGGGTCTGCCTGTGTTGCTTGCAAAAATGGATACAATAGATCCAAAATTTAGATCAATTTTAAATGTGTTTCCTCCAGGGTTGTCCTCTATTTCAATTTTCTTTCCCGCATTTAACTTGTGGGACATTGTATTTTAATGGTTTCATCTCATCAAGTGAAAACAAAATTCAACTAGCTTGAATTCAAAGAGCCAAAAGAAATACTATGAACTCATTTCTTGTCATTTTTATTTTTTATTTTTTTCATTTAATTTTATTTCTTTTCTTAATTCATCAAGAAATAGAGGACAACCAAAAAAAGGGTAGAACCGGAAAACATTCCTATAGAGGTGTGGAGAACCTTGGTAAACACATACCCAATGAACGAATAGTAAGCACTATAGTATCAAACTGGCACAAATCCAAATTGGTAAATTATATAAAAATGAAGTAGATATACAAAAATTGTGACAAATATTGAGGAATTAAATTAGTAAGTTAAGGCTTTGGGAAAACACTAATAGAGCAAAGATTAAAAAAGGCTGTGATCTCACTAATCTTTCTTTACCAAGGGACCAACCATGTAAACAAAGTGATAACATAATGCTTATAAGTTATAACCCCTTATATTTAAGACTTGGAACCATTGTTGGCCTTAAAATTTGATAATAGGGTTACCAAACAATTCAATAACCACAATGCCATGTTATCATTGGGTAACCTACTTTGTACATGAACATCAAAGTTTGAAGAAACAAGTTTCAAGTGCCTTTTTAGTGATTATTATCAACCTCTCAGTCCATAAGCTGATTCTGACATTATATTATATCAGGATTAGGAGGCACGTATCGTCGCATAGCAGGATATGCAAACAACACATTATTTACAAGAACTCAGCTTAGAGGTGTTCTGACAGTAAGTATTGGCCAGCAGCTCAACAGCTTACTGTCATCGTTGTCGTCATCATCTAGTAACCCCCGTGGATAAATGCATTCAAGCGGTTTAACTCATCTCGATGCTCAGTCACCACAGCACGAACTACATCCCCTATGGACACCATGCCTATCATTCCCCGGTTATCGATCACTGGAATGTGCCTGATGCGGTTATCTGTCAACCAACAATATTTCTCAAGCTTACATTTTCTTCCTCGATTTAAACATTAGAGGACACATCAATAAACCAGCAGTTGCATTATTATATTTAATTAAAACTAATAGCACAAAGTACCTGTCATTAACTGCATTGCCTTCAGAACTTTGGTGTCAGGTGTGACTGTAATAAGTTTGTTCTGCAACCATCATCATATAACACAAGTGCATCACTTTTTTTTCCCCCCTCCCCCGGTAAAAACACAAGTGCATCACTTGCCATCATAAAAATTACAGTGTGTACACAGGTAATAAATTTCAAGCTAAAAGAACCTGTGATTGCAAAAGGAAGACGAAAAAGAACCAAGCATAATTTATTCTTTTGAAAAGGGGGCACAACTTATACCTCTTCAGTCATAATGTCTCCAACCTTGGTTGACTTGGATGATCTTCCCTGTACTATGATCTTCCTGAGATAATCTAGAGGAAGACAATACAAACCAGAGAACCATCAAACAAGCAGTTACAACTCTACCTCATAAAGTATTGGCTATGCAGCAGATATGGCCTTTTTATTGTACTAGTAATATATGAACATGCAAATCAATATTCCTCGAGAAACTGTTAAGAGTTTCCATAATAAATGATGCTATTTTCTTAGAAATGTGTTCCAACTGTGGTTTGAATCATTTGACAGATACTTCTTTTTATGACTCTAATCACTATCAGACATGGATTTAACTTCACTGTGAAAAACTAAATGGAGTTGGCTCCAAACCAGTGGGTTAAGTGAGTCAACTAAGCCCAGTCAATTTATAAGATTCTAGTATTCCAGTTCCACAGGTACTGAAAAGGAAAAAACAGAAGGAAAAAAGAAAGAAAAAACACCCAAGAAATATGTAGAACAATCTCCATCTCAAAAATTATAAGCATGGACTTTTTATTGTTTAATTTTCTGCCATGGCCCAAGAATTCAACTCAAATCGTCAATTCTCCATCCAAAAAATGGCATGCAACATCAAAATATTAGAGAACATGCAATTAAGGACATAATATGGATTTTATTTACTTAGAAAAAGTTTTGATATGGTACTCAGAGATTTAATATCGAGACTTTTAGAAAAGAAAGGATCTATAAAGCTGTTGTCATGACCCGCCCAAAACCCGTGTAGATGTTGTCCGCTTTGCACACTCTCCTCTCGGTACACGTCTACGTGATAAGGGGTTTCAACACATACAAGTGTCAAACGACTCAAAAAACCTCTCCCCCAAGGTGTCACCACCCTTGCTGATCCTCATGGGGATTGACTCTGATACCATTTCTGGCTGGAGATTGACTATGATACCATTTGTCACAACCCACTCCAACCCGTGTAGATATTGTCCGCTTTGCACACTCTCCGTGCTCACGGTTTTCAAAATGCGTCTACACAGTTAGGGGAGTATTCATACATATAAGCGTCATCAAACCTCTCCCCCTAGGCAATGTGGGACATCACAGGTGTATATTGACACAATAAAGGACATGCATGATGAAAGTATGGTGCACTATTATACATAGCAGAAACAGTCTCACCCTTATTTGGGCTCTTCACATTATTAACCAGCATTGGGGGAAAAAGTCTAGCAATTTTATTTGTTTCTCTGCTGCATTGTTGATTTTAAAGGCCCTTGAGTTCCAAACCTGTTTTAGGTCCCTTTATACGAATCCAAGAAATGACCACAATTACTACAAGGTTTGATGACTCCAAATTTTTGTAGCTGCTTTGTTTACATTTTTTATCTTGACTTTGTTTAAAGGTGATTTAAGGCCTTCCATCATCAATCATCAGGTTCCAACTAAGCAACAGGTAGCTGTGGAAGTTGCCTCACTTTTCTAATAGTGTTCTCTTATCCTCTTAGATAACCTCTTGTAATAGATGAGATATTAAATCACACAAGATCTTGAATATATTCTGATTACTACTATCTTTATTGGTCCAAGAATGAAAAGCAACTGAAGAAGGGAAAAAAAGAAGAAGAGAGGAACACTTTTATGGTACTATATGACGTGTCACTTGCAAACCACAAATATAGAATCTACAAAATTTATAAAAGGTTTAATGTTCAAGCCATACAGCCTTCACAATTATCCCATCCCAGTCATGGTAGCTACTCAAACCAAAATTGAAAAATTTATCTTACATAAATCTTTATTGTTATTTTGGAAAAGAAAAAGAGGAAGAGAGAAACCTAATATGGATATAAAAATATGAAATATCATTCTTCTTCAACTACATCAACTGTGCAAGAGTAGGACCTTTTGTTTACCTAGAAGTAGATGTCCAAGCTGTTATGCTCAAGTAAAGGCTGCTCTTGTATCCTTCTAAATTGATCGAGTTCGGCTGGTATTTCTTTCTCATTTGGATTTTTCCTTGCAATCAGTTTTAGGCATCTTTTTGCAAGAATAGCAACAACTTGAATCTCCTCTTCGGTACCATCATTCACAACTACTGTCGCTAGAAATTCAAATAGGCGATCCGGTTTCATTGATGATGGAAAATTAAGTACAAGACCTTCATCAGATATATGAGAAGAGGCAACTTTTTTCCCGGCTAGGAGTTCAGCAAGAACAATGATAAAGACATAAACATAACTTTTATCAGTGAGTTGCTCTGATCAAAAGTACTCGGGATCTAAATTTGTCCCACACCAATGTTTTTAAGTGGGTCTTATTAAGGGGTACTGACCTTGAAAATCCAAAATCACACACTACAACCCTGTAATTTTCTTCCAGTAAAATGTTGCTAGACTTGAAATCCCTGAGAAAGATAGATGTAGACGGATATGAGTGCTCCTGCAATTCTCAATCGAGTATTCCAGGATATTGTCGAAGCACGAAACTCATTGTGAAGATGGTGGAACAGGGTGGCAATCGAAACGTATGAACATATACTAGTAGTGGAAATCAGAATCTAAGCAACGCCCGAACAATTTTACAATATTCCTATGAATCTTGCGAGAAAGGATAATAACTTCATTAATGAACTGACCAATTTGATTTTCATCAACTATGTTACATGTCGTACCAGCCACTATACTTCCATCTGATAACATCCCCTTCCCCTTGTAGGAGGACTTGGTACAGTTTACAAGGGGGGTGTTATCAAATGGAAGCATGGTGGCTATTAGGAAGTCTAACATAGTTGATGAAAAATCAAATTGGTCAGTTCATTAATGAAGTTATTGTCCTTTCTCGCATAATTCACAGGAATATTGTAAAATTGTTAGGTTGTTGCTTAGAGACTGAAGTTACACTACTAGTATATAAATACGTCTTGAATGGCACCTTGTCACACCATCTTCACGATGAGGATCATGCTTCGACAATGTCCTAGAATACTCGATTGAGAATTGCAAGAGCACTTGCCTATTTGGCACTCGAATGCTTCTACATCTATCTTTCACAGAGATATCAAATCTAGCAACATATTTCTGGACTAAAATTACAGGTTTGTAGTGTCTGATTTTGGACTTTCAAGGTCAGTACCCCTTAATAAGACTCACTTGACAACATTGGTGGGGGACACATTTGGTTACTTGGATACTGAGTACTTTCGATCAGGGCAACTCATTGATAAAAGTGATATTTATGCCTTTGGCATTGTTCTTGCTGAAATCCTAACCAGGAAAAAAAGCTGTCTCTTCTAATACATTTGATGAAGGTCCTGTACTTAATTTTCAATCATCAATGAAACAAAATTTCTAGAGACATAGTTGTGAATGATGGTAAGGAAGAGGAGATTCAACCCGTTGCTACTCTTGCAAAAAAATGCCTGAAACTGAATGCAAGGAAAAGGGCCAAATATGAAAGAAATAGCAGCAGAACTGGATCAGTCAAGAAGGATAAAAGAGCGGCCTTTACTTAAGCATAACAGCCTGGACAGCTACTGCTTGGTTAGCGAAAGGGCCTACTCTTGCACAATTGATGAAGTTGAGAGGAATGTTAATGATATGCCATGTTTTTAAAACCATATTCTATTACTACTTGATGCATTGAGGTTTCTCTCATCCTCTCTCTCTCCTTTTTTTTTTTTTTCCACTTCATCCTCTCTTTCTTTTCCGAAATAACAATAGAGATTTAAAGATTTATGTAAGATAAAATTTTCAAATTTGGTTTGAGTAGCTACCATGACTGGGATGGGATAATTGTGAAGGCCGTATGGCTTGAATACTAAACCTTTTATAAATTTTGTGGATTCTATATTTGTGGTTTGCAAGTGAAACATCATATAGTACAGATAAAAGATATCATAAAATTGTTTCTCTCTTTTTTCTTTCCTTTTTTTCCCTTATTCAGTTGCTTTTCATTCTTGGACCACTAAAGATAGGAGTAATCAGTTGCTATTTATCTACATATTGTGTCAATAAATTCAAGATTTTGGCAATTGATTGTTAAATTCTGCTAGGTAATCTAAATACAAGTGCGGCTTTAATTTCTATGTACAGAAGCCTTTTATGAGCAGAAATTGTGGAGATTTCAAACTAATTTCTATGCACAACTTGGTTGATCAAACCACATAATATGTCTAAATTAATCAGGAAAAAAACATGAGATGAATTGATCAACCCCGTTGCCAAGGATTTAAATATTTAAGTTACACTTTCTCTAATAGCTTAAGCTTTTAGAGTAGATGGTGGTTAACAAAGGTCATACAGAATCCATTCTAATCGTTAGTTATTTACCGCATTAAAACATATCATATAATAAACACTGGAAAATCCTGGGTCAGAACTCAGAAGTTGTACCATCTCATATTAAAATATCTTTAATTTAAATTACTCAGGGGGCTTGACACCTAAATGGTGACTCGAAGCCATTTAAATTACTTGGTGGGCTCGACGCCTAAATGGTAACTCAAAGTTGGCAAACAATATACATTACCATCATCAACTTCTGATCTGAAAGAAAACATTTAGCTAACATCCACAGTTTTGAACGGGTAAAATAACAATGTTTCATACATGTAAGTAAATAAAAGCCTTTCCAATTACCTCTCTCTGTAATAATTCCAGCAATCGATTTTTGCTCTCCAGGTTTCACGACCACCAAGGCTCCAACATTGTGTTGTGTCATCTGCAAGGGAAAGATTGAGTAATTCAAAAGCTTCTCAGTTACCAAGAATATGCATACACGCTACCCATTAATTTACCTACATGCATACACATACACCGACACTCATGTACATATGTAACCAATTTTCACTTTGGATCTATATTACACGTGTATCAGAACCAAAGGATAACAGAAGTTACAGAACTATGAAATGTCACCAGGATGTGTAAACATAAGGATATATACAGATTTCACAGCTTCATAAACAGTGTCATCTGTAGTGCACCAAAGCCAGGAACCATCTGCACTTTTCCCTTTGGCATTCAGAACGTCTGAAATCGTGGTGCTTTCGAAACCATGTTCTTCCATACGAGCAGATGAAACTGATTCATGGCGCACAAATAGAAGAGGATGCATGACTGGATTCACCCAACGAATGTGTTGCAGAACTGCATTCTTGAGGATATTCCCATGGGATAGGATCGCTCTAACTCCACCTTGCATTTTACCTGTTTGAGGACAATTTTTCAATATGTATATATTTTAAAGTAAAGACAATTTTTAATTTAACAGCTTAAGAGAAAATTAATGTTGTTTCAAGTTAAGAAACAAAGAGCTCCTTGGCATATATAGTTGCTTTCGGAAATACGGTTGATAATAAAAAACTATTCACAACGATTAAAAAAAAAATGCAATGAATCAGTTTTCAAAAAAAAATGTAGAACTTATAAATGACAGAGCCGAGTTCCCATGACAAAAGAAGGGTTGCTAAAAAAAATTACAACCCATACAAGGAAGCTTTAAAATCATCCGCTCTCATCAAAGTAAGGTATCAATTGGCAAAGGCAAAATTAGACATTGCTCCAACCAAATCATGGTACCAAATTAACAATGGACAGAAATGTGTAAGAGTAGGCTTGTTTGTCATACGAATTATCCAAGCGTTACATGTTATGAATATAGCATTACATAAAGTATTCCAACATCCAAATAAATGTCTTTGGTTATAGGGATCCAAAATTATTGAATTATAAACCCAAAAAAAAAAAAATCCTCCGGGGAGCTGCTCTTCGGGGACATGTCTGAAGGATAATTTTTTGGACAACCTCCACCATGACACTCAACAATGACACAAATATCATCACTAACTTCTTTAAATCTTAAAGAAACAATATGGATACTAGATACCCCCCCATTCACCAAATCTAGGGTTCCCAAACGTCCTCTGTTGTGTATATTTTCTCATTTCTTCATATTCATGTGTGCGCGCTGTTTGTGATCGCCATCTCTATAACGCTTCAAACATCATAGCTCTACAATCAGTGACTCACCCAAAGGCTTAAATCTAACAAACCCTTAACACCAATTGGCTTGTGCCTTAACGGGTACAACGAAAATTAATTTATTTTTCTTCATTTCTTGCAATAAAACCTGATTATACAAACATATACATACACTCACGTATATATCAAAAGATCAAATCACAGAAGGTGTTGTCGAAATACATACATCTATAAGAGTCGGGTAATTTACAACACAAAGAAGAAGATCATCTCGAATGAACCGAAGATTGGTTGAATAAGAAGAAGAAGAGGTAAGGAGGCATACCCGATTGTAGATCTACGCACAAGTACACACAGTAGAGCAGAGCAGAGCAGTAAGGTGGGTCACTGATATAGACTTATAGACCTAATGTTCTGATGAGGTGCATTACAGTTAGCCTGTTCTCTCATTTTTGTCAAATATAAATCAAGAGAATCTCCTACGAGTATTATAGAATTAGAATTTAGAATAAGAACTCATCCAATTAAATATATATATATACACACACACATTTGTGGACCCATTTTTGTAATAAAAGATCCCAGGTAAAAAAAAAAAAGTAAGACTGGTTGTTTAAAATTTGGATATGTTTCGTATAAATAGGGATTAATATCATCACGATACTCTGAATATAGTTTATATCTAATGGTATATTATGAACCTTCAGTGTACATAAATATTTCAATAAAAATTGCTACTTGGACCGAGAAGGTCAACATCGAACTTGTCGAAATTAATTTAAATTTATGCAGTCAGTACTTAAATCTTGACCATTTAAATCTAACAGACCACTCACATTTAACAGATACAATTGCTTTGGCTAAAAAACAGAAATGATATAAACAAGACAATACCGAAAATCTCAAAATATATATAAATAGAACTGACAAATGTGGATATTGGATACATCAATATGATAATATAAAATAACACAAATTAATTTTTGCTCATTTTACCTCTAGCATCATGCATATAATCACTACTTAAAATTGCACAGGAACCTTCCTTGCAAGGAAAAAAAATTAAACCTCTCAAATCTGTATCTAAGTAGTGAGCATTTATTTTAGGATAATTAATCAATCATTGTTTATCAAAGTCAAAGTATTCCCAAATGCCAATTTGTTGGTTATAACCATACAGAAATCCTTCATTAGTTATCATCCATTGACACTCCGAGCGACACCTATGATGATCCCTATTCGCATCATACGCATCGAAATGGTACCAAATGTTATCACCCCATTGGACATGGCAATAAAACAACGTCGTCCCCCAAAAGTTGACGTTGAAGCTCCACGTGGTTTCGTAGCCATCTTCCACAATGTGAAACCCTAGATCATCGTCTTTCGATTGACAGTTTATGCTCATAAGCTTCCCTTGTCCTAGCCTGTTAATTACATGCACATGGATTTTTGCATGCACGAATGCCACCATAAGTAGAAGGAAGACAAAGCTGTGGATCATCATAAAATTATTCATTTTAATTGATACTTTTTTTTTGTTTAGAGCTAGTACTATTTTATAATGCATGTGCCTTCTTGAATTATCAAAAGTAAGTAGATAAGGTAAAGAAATGGTCTCTTTGCCTCTCATTTTATTTCGTGTGACCAAAGAGATATATATTCATTTCTTGTTTCTTGTTTGGGGTGTTCTTGAATTTTTTGATCATCCAAACAAAGAAGATGACCAAAACTACCTTTCTTTTGTTCTTTTCTATATGTTAAAGAAAGTAGTTATATACGTCGTTTAATCCATGTCCAAATTAATTAACAAATAACAATAGTGAATGTACATTAGAATATTCCTGTATTAATATAATTCTTTAATTACACTTACCAAAAGAATTTCTTTACCAAAGTTACAAAATTCAGTATAATTTAATTTATTATTGAACTTCAACAAATCAGAAAAATTTGAAGAATTAAGCTACTATTTATTTATTTATTTTTTTCATAAAGAAAATGAATAGAATCATTCTCAAACAAACAGTTTACAATCCTTTGAGACCTCATCCTCCACTCACAATAAGCAAAAACACTTACTGTATGAGCTACCGTATTACAATGACGAGAGACCAAGTTAAAGAAAAGACTTAGTTTCATAACAATTTAGTATTTCCTAATTTTTTGTGCTTCAAAACACTTAAAAAAACATCATTTAGCAAATTACGGAGTGATGTATTTGACACGAAATTAAGATTGGTGACACGAAGAAACATTAGTGTTTCTTTTCCGATTTTTCCTCCGTCGGAACCTGTAGGATTACGACCTGCATGCTCCCACATTTCATCGGATGCATCAATGGTGCTGCGGGACCGGAGTTGCGCAATGCCGCCCACTGCCAACATCATTGTAGGCTTTTGCATGATCAATAGATTATTACTTATCGTTTCATTTTTAATGAAAATTCAACACTCTTATAAATTTTTTGCACGGATGCAGCCTTATGTATGAAAGCCTCGTATTTAAAAATTTGCCTAAAACTTCTCAATTTTTTTGGATTCTCAGGGCTGGCCATACACCATATAATCTGATAGGATCTTACAATATTCACTATTATTCCGATCATCATCATCATTTTCAGCATATTTGGAACAATAATAGCACAGTGTAGTAATGTGCCATATCAAAAGGGCTCTTATCGAATTCAACTTGCTCGCCAAGGCTGGATTTGTACTTATCATGAGAGAGAATCCAATTGCTGTTGGACAAATACAAGTGTGAAGTTGTTCCCACCCTAGCCTTATCTTTCACCTCTTTGAAAATGAATTCTTTTAATCGAATACATCTGACTAAATTTATGTGAGCAAGTAATGATGTAATCATACTTAGGATCTTGTGACCTAGTGATATCTCTTCTATTTTTCAAAGTAAATGGTGAGAGTTCGAATCTCCAAATTATATTTTGTCATTTAAAAAAAAAAAAGTGATGACCTAATCAAGACATAGGTATATGAAGAATTGAATTGGAAGTTATATTTAACATTCCAGAAAAAATGCATCAAAATTACCATATTTTATTTAAAAATATAAAAAAACCAAAGTTTATAAATCTACACGATGATATATCCCAACAACAAGCACATAATACAACCATCATCAAAATAATAAAGAGAGATAATGAAAGAAAATCAAAATCTAAAGCTTAAATCTCACAAGTCCAATAATTCAAATTAAGGCTAACATCAACATTTGACCATAACATAAAAGAAAATTCAATTTAAAAGTCCCACAGTCCAAGCAGAGCTTTAATATTAGTCCTAAAATCTGAAATTGCATTAATAAAATTCAATATTTTTGGATTATTGGGAAAAGTACTAATAGGTGGTTAAGAACTATAACTTGTAAAGAAAGATGGCATATTTGTTTATTAGGGCACATATTCGCTTTTTAGGAGAACATATTAATTTGTTAATTGGGGATATGTTGTAAAGATTTATAAAATGATACAAAATAAAATAAGAAGAAAAAATCTCACCCCATCAGTCTGTTTCTATAAAGACAAATGAGTGTATGAATTTCTAGTAAAATTTAAGACTGGTGATACAGTGTCTGTAATTATAATTGTGTTCACTAAAAATTCATTATATTTTAGTTTGTTTATTTGACCAAAATGCAAAATTCAACCCAAAGCCGGCAACATAAAAATATATACAAAATTTGTACAGTTAGAAATAAAGAAATGAAAAAATATTATATAATATTGTATAGGAAAAATATTAGGCAAAAGAGCAAAAAAAAAAACCCGAACTATAGAGTTATTGCAAAATGCCCCATGTATTATTTTTAGGAGCAACTCAGCCCCTCAACTATACGAATGTTGTAGATTGCCCCCTTATAACTCAGCGGAGTGTACTCACAATTACTAAACAACCCCTCACTTATTAATTTATTATTAAAATAATTAAATATCGAATTTGTAAAATATCTATAAGACCCTCCGTGATTTAAGTTAACAATTTTACCCAAATCAGTCTTCGAAAGTGAAAGAGAGCAGGAGGGTTTCGTTTCACTTTGTTTGTGCATATCATCTTTTATCTCTTCTATTGTGGGTCTTTCTTCGATTGTGGGTGTTTCAAATTCGTATTTTAAGGTCCCATCTTGCATCATGATTGTGAGTTCACTTCAAGCGCATTGGAAACCTTTGCTCCATATTCGCAAGTATATGTTGTACAACAATCTTGTATGCCTTTTACTTTAATGTGTCTTAGGGTATGTTTGATATAGTGGAAAAGAAAAGAAAGGATAACATTAATTACGAGGGAAAATAAAGGAAATGAAATTAAAGAATAGTGATAGCTTCTTATTGCGTTTGGTTAATTAATGAAAGAAAAGAAGGGAACTGGTAATAATCATATTTGGGGAAAGAAAGAAAATGGAACTATTTACCTTTTTTATTTAAAAGAACAAATTTATAGATTAAGCATGCAATTTCTGAGAGCATCTCCAACTGTTGTATATATATTTTTTGTGTTATCTGATGTGTTATATACTCATAATGGATTTATACAAAATTTTTGGATTATTTATTTTTAGTTCTTTGTTTTATACATTGGTGACGTGACAGTGTATCTTAACAGACTGTTGGAGAGTTGTTGGACGGGAAGTCACAAAGTCAGAGACGTTAAACAAATTAAGTTTTGGTAGAGCGAAGGGGTTTGAGTATGAGTCAAAGTTCGGTATACTTTGCTTCATACATAGTGGATCTTTTTACGCTTGGGATAGCACACAAAATCTCAAGGTTTTCTAATTGATTTTCTCGCTAAAATCCGGTGTCACTCTAAACTTTACTTGTTTTTATTTTGCGTGTGATTGTTTAATTAATCAGTAATTTTATTAGAGTTAATTGAATAGAGAAAAACATGATTAAATCTTCTTCTCATAAAAACTCAAACTTTTCACAATATATTCCGTTGCATAACTCACATTATGTACTTTTAGTCTATGTGGTGGGATGTTGCACTTTAATTCCTGAGCCAGATGAGAAGTCACAGGTTCCACCTAATGTTTGAGTTATATTTAGTTGTCCGTTTCTTAAAGCAAAAAGAGAAGGGTCACAAATGTTCTTCATTCAAAATCTTCCTTCACAAAGTCTAGCTAAAGAATCTATATTCTCCCGTTTGTGTATGAAAAATTAATTGTTGGAAAAATAGAGAATATGAGCTACTAACCAAGGCCCATAGGAGAGGGCCTGGGAAGAGCCGAGGGGCATAAGGAACCAGAGGGTCCAGAAAGCTCATAAGAGTGGAGCATCTGAGTATATTATTGAAACGTCAATATCAGCTCTCTAAAAAAAAAGTCAAATGCATTTAGAAAACGCTAACTAAAAATAGAATACGAGCACATAGTAATATTTCAACTTATGTGTAAGAATGAGCTTTTTAAATATAAAAAAGAAGGAATCAATGATTAGTGAGTCCATGATACCGATTAAAA